TGAGATTGCTCTTCAGCTCTCTACGTCAATCCTCATCAACACACGGAATGACACTCCGTTGAGTGCACACACAAATGAGTTTATTTGACATTTCCTATTTGATATTTCCTCAGCACACTCTGCTCTGTTATGTCCGCTTTGTAGTTTATGTGCTTGTGCGTAGGCTGGCACAGCATCGCAGAGAGAGATAATAATAACTGGCTATTTTTGGATCTTATACGAAAAAGCAGTGAGCGACGTTTCTTGAAGCGGCAGCAGTGTCATTTTGTCTGTCCGCCAGCCCTATACCCACGGACCGCGGCGTTCGTGTGCATTGAAGTCGTTGACCGTCTTATATGTGCGAATATATGTATACCACACGGCCGCGTCTTAGTTCAGCTACATCCTTTGCTTTCGTCGTAGAGTTAGTTCAGGGATGCGGATCCTAGAACCCAGCTTGATGGAAGTTTAGTCGACTTGCTCGTAGATACTGGTACCAAACAAATTGGTTCATTAGATCTGACAAGGTTCGTCTACTCCAACAAATAAAATGACCTGTTCACGAAGACCCCTAATGCCAGCAGACAAGCGAGGTGGCTGGTAGAATTCACGCATTTACTTATACACATATGAAAAGAATCTGAGTAGCCGGCAAGTCGACGAAACTATTTGCTGTCGTCTAATTGACCTTAAAGATAATTTTATTTTTTCGTGTGGGGTCAAATTGGGGCTGATTAGCGATTTTGCGTGGCCAAAACCATTACGCTGTTTGCAAGTAGAGCTAGCATCTATTAGCAATAACAAACAAAACATACATCATTCATGCAAAACGATGCATGGGAATGAATATCCCCTCATTTTGATGCGAGTACAAACAGTCTCCGTTTTTGTATATCTCCGCAGGAACAATCCAAACAACCCCCAATTCCAGTACACACAAAGATACATTCACCCAGAAGCTGAAACGTAAAACAAGACCTCACTCTTCACGGTAGCCCAATCTTCCTTCAATGTATGAGCCGTCTACAATGATGATATCCTTTTTTATCAATGCCTGTTGGTTTCTGTGCTCTCATAAGGTAACGATTGAACTCGAATATAGATTTCACAGAAAGGCATTTGTACGGCAGAAAGTAAGCAGCTACAAACGCTGAAGATAATAATATCTACGTACTCAATTGTTTGCCAAGAAACAGCTTGGTCTTTATTATAGCGTTTCGTTTAGTACCGTAGAATGTCCTAACCTAACCTCTCCCGCCAAAAAAAATTCAAAACGCCAGAGAAATCGATAAACGCATTCTGTTGCTTACGCATCTGAGTACTACCTCTCTCAGGCATAGATAAGTGGACGCATCATTCGAGATGCCTAGATAAAGATTCCGGTCCACTGAAGACATCGATATTTAAAACGGCCGCATTAATTATGCTGGGCATAATTATGTTTTTGTTTAATGTATTACCTCGATCGACAACTTCACAGACTGTGAGTTGACAGTTTGGATGCTATAGGTATGTTTATCAAAATCTGCCTTCGCATACTCTGCTTAATCAACCACGGAAAAGCGACTATTGTTGGCATCAATCTGCCCTTATAAATCGACAGCCGAAATGGACGTCAGAGCCTCCTGCAAGCCATATTCGGTGATGACAGGCCGATTAATTGTTACTGACAAGTTTTGCTTAAAAAAGCTTCGTGTATGGCAGCTAGGTATGTAGCTCTTGAACTTTTGGTTGAATGACATCGAACTAATATGACCATTGTTGTGTTCCTGTTTAAGCGGTGCACATTAGTTCTTGTTTTTGTCGTTTCCAAACAGAGTGAATCCTTCATCGCATTTATAGAAATAATGATTCGCTGGATTTTTAAGGGTCGTGACGTTTCGACGCCAGATGGCGTCGTTCTCACTGCCAAGGTAATGTCTGTGATACCTGTTACAGAGAGATGAGGAATATGGGATTCGCCGCAACTTACTTTTAGGCTTCGTTCATCGAACCTCCCAACTATGAGCGTAAGTTTCGTCCGTTATAGGTGCAATTGCGGGTTATAACTTGTTTTGCTGTCCTAATCCGGGATACTTCATCGTCAAGCGACTGTAAAAGTCTAGAATTTCATAGGATGGTTCAGGCTTTATATGCAATGATCAGTACAAACGGGATTGAAGTTTTGGATATAATTTGTATCATTACACCTCAGACATAACTGATCGACTTGAAGATGCAATATTAGAAGCTCACATGCTCAAAGATACCACAGTTCACCAAAGGTGTTCCTATCGCCCAATGTCCTAGATATATGTGCCTTCGATGCTAAAGGGAACTGCGAGATCATGTATATTTTACGCTTCAAGTCATCGAATGAAATTTTAGCATCTTTGAGATCGAGAACGTTATCGTGTGCCAAACAAATATTTAATAGTCACTGAAATTCATTCACTCTAGCATTTCTTCTACGTATGAAATTTTCAAGGTCACGCGCGATAACCCAAACCGAAGTTTAATATGGCCAGGTTTTAATAACAGTACGCTTTTACCAATCACCCATTTAGCTAGGACTTCAACACATTCAAGTAGATTGCCTATTTTCTGTAGCAATGTTGCCCGCCCTATTCTTGGTAGCGAGTGCAACTGTTTGGTAGCTTTATGCTGTGAAATTAAATGCAGACAGATACTTAGAATTTTATTTTTTTCAACTTTTCAGCCATTTCCATAAGACCCCCCTTTCATTCCGATCCAGTTCCGACTTTCCTTTCAGAACATTCGCATATATTATTTTTTCTACCTTTCTCACTTTCAAGTCGAGATAGGTGGCGAAAAATCAGAGCAGTTCTCTGCTGAGCAGGAATCTGGAACGTGCATTTTGGGCGCTATTTCAGCTTTCAAGATGGAGTTGTAATGGCATCTTCGATAGTTGGATCGAAGTTGTCCATTATGCCAGCACACATCGCTACGGTGCCTAACTAAGAAAATCTACTATTCTGGGTATATATTTGTGTAAATGGAAAGATCGCAAACTGAAGTATTTCAATCGTTTTTCGAGAAATTTTTTTCGGGTGTATCAGGTTTGAGGAAAAACCGCGACAGGGGGATTAGGACGATGGTGATCTTGAGCGGATCAATAAAGTTCGGGTCATTTCCACGTTGTTTTAGGAGTTGCAGGGATTTCCATAAACACCTTTACCTGAGCTATCGTTTGCCTATTCGAATCGTTCGCGGACGTGGTCGGCGCTGACTGTATAGTGTCTACCGTTTCAGGATGGGTCACTTCTTTTTGCTACACAAGCTGGCCGCACCTCAGTTACTGGACAAATGGCCATAGCTAAAAATCGGGTGCAATGCGGGAAAAAAAGGTGCAAGTAACAAACTATCTGCGAATGGTGCATTTGGCTTTCGCGTTAACATATTTAGTAATCAAATGATTTTTACCCAGTATCGCTCGCGGAGCTTGCTGTTTTTGTTTCTGCCATTTGTAACGTTAAGGTCGTATCTCCGAAGTATGATGCATAGTATTGTCATTGATCTCACAGTGACTGGAAAAATTCTTTTCAAATATCAGTTATCCCCCCCGGCCCCTGGAAATAAATGATAAGTTTTTGCGTTTCGAGTTGGGTTGTTACTATATGCATCACTGATGCGGGCGCGCTGTATTTCTTCCGATAAGCAACACCCTTTATCAGAGGACACACCAGTGACTACGTCTTCAGTAGATGCATTTTTGAGCTTCTTCCCGAGGAGCCTGCTGGTATCCCGCCGGCAAATTAGCTGAAGCCCTTTGAAACTCAGTGCGACCTGAGCGTATCTATGGCCGAAGAATGAATGGCAGTGATTGAAATCGCGCTTCATGCGAGTCTTATATTATCTAGGAATTTCCTTTCTTTTGACAGTTGTTCTCGGAAAAGTCAAATTCTAATGAAAGCTTCTTCGTTGGTAACTTTTCCCCCTGCTAACTCAGGACTTATGCGCGTGATTCCACCCCTGGACAAATAGCTAACTGATAGCAGCAACTGAAAGGCTAACGTGCCTGTACGCCGTGTAAAGCTTCGAGTCATTCTTGCCTTAGAAAGCAATTACCGTATCACAAATCGCTCTTAATCTACTATTGAACAACATGCCCCTATTAAAACGCTTATACAGCCAAATAACCGCTGGTTGGAAACAAAGAAAATTGTACATTTCGACATTGGGGACAAACTATTACAGCCATGCGATTTCTACTAGTGAAACCCTCAATCTTTTTGACGCAAAGCATTTTTTTAGAATAAGTTGAAAACATTTAAGATAGAAAAAATGTAATAAAAAACTTCCTGAAAGCTTTCATGGGTAACATTATATCTGTGGTAATATCATATCTAGTTATCCCCTGTTCCATCGATTCAATCTAAAAAGCAATGGCCAAGAACAGCTTTCGAGTTTAGGCTATACAGATTAAGCTCATAGGTAGGGGTGCGTTTGCAGGCTTAATTTCTACTTAATTTGTAAGCATAGCGATTCCAGCTATTATATGCTCTATTTAGCATATGTAGGGCCGGGAACAGATAGTACGCCGTCAGCCTAGATAAAGCGATTTTAAATCGCTTCATAATTATGAAACTAAGTTAAATCATGATTGATCCTGTTCGATCATTCAAAACGCACACAGTCATCGTATCGAAGATTGATCTGCGTAGTTGAAAGACTTTTAATTGAGATCCTCATAAACTATAAGCAAATGTTCTGAATGAGCCTCCGTTTATAGATTCTTTACTTGTAATTTTTAAAACGTGTAATTTTGTGAGCAGGACTTCACAATAAGATGATGTGAACTTATAGTGTAAAATGTAATGAAAGAAACCAGGTGCTGAGGCCGAAATCGCACTTCAATTCATACACAGAATAATGGCTATATTGCTTATGAGTCTTGATACCCATTATATAATTCGACACACTTGGGTCGAAGGCGGAACTTCAATAATTTTAACTAGATCCCTCATTCATATATATGTTGTATCTACCACATGTAAGATTTATCCTATGTTTATGCATACCTCCGGCGACACTTAAGAATAGTTTCGACAGACAGGAGGAGAACTAGTAAACCAACTGATATACACGTGCCGCCCGCGACGAACCAGGGCGTGCTTTTGGCGCGGTACACGGTACCAAGGAAGACAAATAAAGCACCGAGGCACGCCAACGCCAGACCCGAGCCGATGATACACGCCACCGTCGTCTGCGCCTGTTTGTGGCGCCGTATCGCCATCTGGGCCGAGCAAGCACCGCCTTTGTTGGCCCGTGTACGCGTCAACTGGTACTCTATAGGGTTTACCTGTAATAGTGCATGACAAAACGCACGAAAATGAAATGTAAAACACATGTAAGCATTCAGTATCATCTTGAGTCAAAAAGCACATGTTTTAAAGTTAAATTACTTGATTTCTTATATTATTATATGACTATAAAGTGATGTAAAGTTTGCACGACGAAGGTAGTCGCATACGGGTACGCGCGCACGCTATTTTCGCTCCAGTATATACATATATATATATACTCATATGTATATTTAATTATAGAACGCCATCATCTTTGCAAAGACAGGGGCTTACTTAAGCGGAAGCGGGTGGCAGTCTTATATGACACGGCCTTAAATTTAACAATTTTTCACCTGCTTTCACCTCAGTTCTAACATCTGTGCAACTAATGTCGAATTTTGACAGCATCAGCCTTGAATTTAAAGGGAATCTGTGGCGGCGGCGGCGGCGGCGGCAGCAGCAGCAGCACCAATAGCATTTGTGATTCCAAGGGAAGAAGCAATACACAGAGCGACTGCATAAGAGTTTGCAGGAACGTGAAAAGTTACGTCGAATAACGTGGCCCGCTCAAACCGCATAGCTGTCAATCCCATCAGACTACCGCTTTGCAATGCATAGCAGGCCCTCAGGAAGACACAGCCTTTGCTCGAAGTTGGAGAACCTCGAGTACTAGTCAAGCAGTCACAGCTAGTGAGCCTGTTGCAGTGCCTGGCTTCTGCTTGAAGGTACGTTCGCGGTTGACGAAAACGCCAGGACGACACGAGAAAGAATTAGATTAGTCTACTCGAACGTAGTAAAGGGGCGCTCGACAACGCTTACGTAGTGGAATAAGAGACGGTAGATGATGTCAATTTGCCTCTTAATTTTCCGTTGACAGCTGGAAAATTTTACATCGATTGCCCACGTTTTTGATAAATGTCTCAGGGTACATTGGCTATAAATATACGTGACATTGCCAACAGAACAAAAGTGCTCGACAGAGCATATTTGTCGTATGACGTGGTACAAAAATGTAGGTGATATTATTCTTGAGAGATATATATATATATACAACGGAGTCAATGAGTATGCGCTGATATTCCTCGGTCAGTCCTATCAGAAAGTTTGCGTTAACTGTTTTTTTACTGGTTGCACCCTGTTTGAGCACTGGATGTCGGTTGTTACGAAGTGCCAATAGTAAGTGTTAATTCGAACCGAAGTGAAGGACTCGTTTTCTTTTGGCCCTAGCAATATTGCATAGAACCCTGATAATGTAGTGAATGATGGATACATATTTTTAGGTATGAGTAACGAGATGTTAGCTCTACAGGGTTAGGTTTTCATTCATTTAGAAACAAATTAGGGCGCAAGAATTTCTAAAAATCTAGAAATCTAGTTGAGCCCAAAGTTCAAATCGTAAAAAATCAATTCTGACGGAGAAACGATCATCCACTGATCTATATTGCTAGCCGTTGCTCAATGTACATCACGGAATTAAGCCTCCAATACAACTTAGATATTGTCGAAGCGCAGTATCGAATGAAACCCAGGAAGGCTTGAGGGCTTTCAGAATATTTTAACAGCGATGGCAATAAATTGTTGTTTGCCTAAGAGGTCTGTTGTGCTAAGTCTTTAAGGCGGCTCAGAAATGGCGAACACAGAGTGAAAGTTATTTTAAGCACAGGGAGTTAGCAGTTCAGGGAATGAGGGAACCGGTCACGTAGTACCGGCTCATCGGCGTCAAGTTCCCATGAGCAGACGACATAGAACGTAAAATACGCATGTAAACATTAAGTATACTCAACATATTGCGATTTGATACTAGAAATATAATGCCAAACGTCACGCTTAATAGGGATTAACTTTTTTTTTTTCTATTTCTATGAAGTTTTCACTATCATTTATATCAAGGCAAAATATATATATAGTTGGCCCTTGCCAGTTTTTCTTCTCTTGGTTATTAGCGTGTTTTGGCACCCATTCAAATTGAGAAAATCTTTATATATATATATATATATATATATATATATATATATATATGCAGTTTTTAGTACCACAAATCGGCTTTTTACTCAATACGAATTATCAGCCTACAGTAAATAGCAATTCTATCGCCTTCATGTGAAGTGAAATGAAAATAAAAGGCCAACATCGGCTCTGCTCCCCCTGGTGCCAATTAAGTAAGTTACTTCTGCAATAAAGGGGCTACGGCAAACGAATCGGCACTGTTCTACCATCGTATAACTTGTCTGCTTTACTGATTGTGTGTATGGACTACGTTTTCGTTCACCAACCATCAGGATGAGAATCAAATACATCAGTGTGATTTTCGTTTTCCTTGGCAAAAGGGTTCTCTTTCGTACTCGTACCCGAGAATGAAAGCTCGAAAAGATAATTAAATTTTCGTTAACAAGTAGGTTTTCACAGATATCGTCGAGTTACCATTAAAAGTTTCGACTGCCGTAATGGCTATTGGCTGGCTGGCTGGCTGGAAGAGCATCGATGTCACAAGCAGAAAATTCTTAATTTTATTCCCAGCGAAGTCTGAGTGACTATCTAAATTAATCTAAGTTCTTAATGTCTATTTACTAAGCCTAGCTTAACGTAAATGTTAATGCATCTCTTAGTCATAATATGTTGAAAATCGGGTCCCACCATGCCACGAGTAGTATAGCACGGTCCGGCTCTAAAGAGTTTTAACTTCAACAAATAGAATTTGTTCATCTAAGTAAAACGCCATATGCCTCAGGTTGGCCTTGGTTTATTCAGGAAAAGTTGCGCTTCATCATTACATGATTTCCGTGATTACACTATACTATATGCTTTGTCCCAGCGCTTGGGTATGTACAATAAGATCGCTGGCTGTACACGTGTGTACATTTATTTCGCCCGACACAGCTTATTGGAAAATAAAAAAATTGCCCGTTTGAGGATCCCTACATCATAGATCTGCCCTCTTTTTGGATAAATGTAATGTGTCCCCTATGAAGACAATTGACGCACTAGTACATATCTATACAAACAGAAACGCATTAATTAAAGCCCTAACATTGAATTAGGTAATTAAGATACTCGAACACAAATTCAAGCATCAACCTGATTTCTTGTGAAACTACGATGAAACCTGCAATTATAAGATAAGGAAGAGGTTTATACTGAATGCTTGCGAATCAACAACAAACAACAAATTACGAAAAGTTTTCATCTGCACTTTTATACAGCCCTGCATGAAATTTCACTATGCAACATGGGTATCCGCCAAGGCGATCCAAGCTACATTGCGTTACTAAGCAACTCTCCATGCATAGATAAATAACGAGTAGAACGAGCCACATTGGTTTGCGTAATGTATGTATACTTAGCCATTCCAATGATTTGAAAATTCTTTCGCTCATCTCTTCATCCCCAGAATACAGTAAAGATGAGACGGACAGACAGACACACACGCTCACACACACGTAAACACACGCACAGACACACACACACACACAAAGCTACCAACGTTCGATCTTGCTATCCGGAGCGGAACGCCTGATCCAATAAAAACTGAGCAGCAGCATTTTAGATAAAAATTTGCTAATATAGTATCCTAGCATCTGTCCCTGGCAAGCCCAGAGAACGACAAGGTCTCCTAGTGCTCGAACATCAGTCATCTGCTGCCTGCTTTACATAGACAGAGCTCACAAGTACAATCTTGTACGGTTAATGACTTGGCCGCTGTCGGGTATCGTCGAGTTTCGAAGTCCTACGTATGACTATGTAACAATGGAGGGACCCGCAGCTGCTTTATGGCCAAGATAGATACCTCTCTCTGAGACTTGATCATTTTGTAAACGAACTTGCATGTGTACTTCCGAGAAGTTCGCAGTGCATGAATGCCAAGCAGCCCATATGTGAAATAATAAATATTGAATGCGAGTCTTATTAAGATCATGTTGGATCGGACTTTTAGAACGTGATCTCTTTCTTGCTTGACCATTTGAATTAATTTTTTACTGAGTGTTTTTATTACTGGTAGCCACTATTAAAGTAATTAAATAGGCTATAGGCTATAGTATGGGCGGTGTGGCTTCAATTATCCATCATTATTTAATCTCTGTTTTTATTTAAAAGAACAAAGGTACACTTCTATAAACATTTCCCGAACAGAGAAGTTGTCGCACGAACATACGTCGTGCTATATCAGACTAGATATATTGCAGGTCTCTATTGACTTCTACGTGCAGGATCTAGGATAGGGTACAGCATACGTGCGCGTGACGTTTTCATGGAAACCTGTGGTCATATCGTTTTTACCACGATATTATGTATCTAATGCACACAGTCTTGTCGTTCTAGTATTTGGGCATTTTCGACATTCTAGTTGCGGGCCGCCCGAATTGACGAGGTGTCAATACGCGACTTAGCCTTTAGGAAGTTGTCTCGTGACGATAATTCACTAAAAGCAAATCTGGTACTAGATAAGTTGACGGACCCATTTCGGCGCATCAGGCAGTGGTTAACATTATAGATGAGAAACTCGTGTTAAAGCTTGAGCAAATTGTAAACTGGACGGTGAAGATAGACAAATTCAATCCGATTCGCGGATTGGAGACGGCTCAATTGCTTATTTCGACATACAATTTTAAGAGGATTTTGCTATGGGTTTAGAAAAGCTTTTTCGTGTATCAGCCCACGCGCAGTAGCATTGCACGACATATTCATAATGTTGAATACATTGTCAAAATTGAGTCTTGATTTTTCAATATAATCCCTGTATACTACCCATGATATATCGTGATTTGGTCGTCACCTACTGAGAAGGGCATGCTTTTACACATCAATTGCTTCGAAGCGAGACTCATTGTTTTCCCCCTATGCGAGTGAAACCTTCAAAGAAAAAACGCACTGTCCCAGCGGGCTTATTCGTTCGTCGCCATAGGTCGTTTCAACGGTTTTTCAGCGTCACTGCGAAGTGAAGTCTAATGTAACAGTCTAGCACGTAAGTAGTGTTGTAGTAACGGCGGTGGCTGTTTTTGCTCTGTGACGTCTACGACGGAAGGCAAACGTTATAATAAACAGTCTCTGTCAACCCGATCCCACTTTAATTTGGCTTCTTTTCCCGTTTTTTTCTTTGCGAAGAGTATGCGCTACGCTAAAGACAAAGTAGATACAGGAAGGAGCTTGATTAGGTTCGGGGGGTGCGCGCGTGAACAAACCTACGTTGGTTCACATAACGACAGCACAGAAAACGTCGGAGACGGATGGTTCGTCTATTTGTTCCTGTGCCCAAATTGAGAGAAAATATATCCACTCAATGTTAGCGTGTACAAGAGAATAACAAGCAGTACATCATGTTATTATCTCGCGATGTCACCGACTATCAAATGAAGGCGTCGATGGTTATTAGTTTTTGCGTAGACCAGCTTGTACGCTTGAAATAGGAAGACGTCTCGTGCTTGACAAGAATGAATAATATACTAAGTATGAGGTCGCGGAAGTGATGTTATATAAATGAAAAATGAAAAATTGTAAGCTGCACAAAAAGTTTTTCCAACAGTATCTTTTTTTTGACTACATATATATATATATATATATAGCAGTATATTAGCATAAACGTTGTACATAACATTTTGACATGTATCCGAACCTGACCTATGACCTGACAAGGTATTTTCTAAACCGCATTAGATGCGATACATATGTATGATGAGTGATTACAATCCTCGAATAACCGAAACTTTAAACTGGGTCGTTTAGGAAATGATCTAAAACGTTTAGTTACAGCTTCGACCGGGCAGATCAGAATTATTCGTAACCGCGTAACTCGCGCTGCCGACTCTAAAAATAAGTTTCTTCAATAAGCTTGTAGGATTCCTCGAAAGCCTTGCCCCTGTTACCTTCAATGCTGGCTCGTTACGTGCGGCAAATTGCTTCTGCCGGTCATATTGGAACAGTTTCTACTCATCTACCATACGCAGTACGTGTAAAAGCGTTCCCCCTGCTATTTTAATCGTACTATGTACGTTAGACTCCTACAAGCTCTGTTTGAGTTAAACTAATACGAGCTTAGTTAGACTCAGTTAGATGACAAGTATGATTCAAGTTGATAGTTTTTGTCAACACGACGCCTATATTTGCTGAACTTAGTTCTTTTCACAGAGTATCGAAAATTGACCACTCCGTTCGAGGTTTTAACTTTGAGGCTCTAGATTAAACTTCTCTATCATTCAAACAATGATCCAATAATTTGGGATATGTTAATGCGAATTGTTTAACTGCTCATAGAGTGAATGGAAGGTGTTTACGTAAATAGAACAATTAGTGTTGAGAGCTAGGAGAGAATGCAAATAATTTTTTTATTGATATATTTATTATAAGAAATTTTAGCAGAACGGCATCATTAAGTCATCATCAACTTCTATAACCATAAGATAAACAGTTACATGTAGTACACGATGTGAACGTAGAAACTTGACGTTATCGATTCGATCCAGACCTTCAGATCTCTGCCATACACTGCACGAATTTACCAAGTTCTCGCTGTGCAATAGACACTCTCGGTTGAAACAAAAACTTAAGGATTTAGAGTGCGTTCACATCTGGGCTTTTGCTGTTGCTCTTTCATATCTTCGTACGATTAAAGCATTTTCTTTCTTATTTAGTAATGGCAATTATTTTCCACTCCAGTAACACCCACTCTACAAGTGGATTTACGTACAGAAACCCTTTGTGCTGTTAAAATAGGCCAGTTGGTCTATTTCTTTTGACCTATCTTTTTTGCCCTGTTCATTCTGCCCCTGTGGCTAAAATGGTCGTCGTGGCCTGCGTTTCGGATTGCTCCACTACGGGCTACCGTTGTCTTAGATTTCTGCCTTGCCATGCCGTCGCAGCCCTTACAAGATTCGCGTTGTCAAAGGCTGGCCCGCGTTTTAATATACAATATTAACTAGCTGGTGGCTACACCTAACGTATTCCCCCAGCTCGACGTATCCTGAAGAGTCAACAATTTCGGGCCTATCTTCTCGTTCTTATATTCGAGCAGTTCCTTAAACAAATCGCCATATCAGTGGCAGTTCAGCTCAATGGTTGAAGAACAAAAAAAAAGCGAGGCTACATTGCGACTTCTACTACACGCTGCAAATGTTAGCGGTTAGATGTACACGGAGCACACGTGCATATGCTGTACGCAGCTGTGACGAAAAAGTTGTGAACTGTGCACTGTGTACGTAGTCAGCCGCCCCAGTCACGCAGTTTCTAGGCATTAACACGTGACTTTTGAGCGCGCAACAGCTGGAAGGACTTTAAGAGGGTATAGGAGCAAACGTCTGCGGGATAATCAGTGAGTCTATCGGTGCAGTGTTTCTAACAAGCGAAACACTAAGGTTTTTTCGAAACTCGATCAAGTCTAGTAACAAACAGAGTGCGAAATTTCAAAAGGCGAATAAGTCGTGTATTCTAGTCAAAGGAATATGGGCCAGAGCAAAAGATCACAGATAATTTGAAAGGAAGCTAACAGTAGAACTAATTTGGTACACATGCTAACCCGTTTAGAGCTGCATGGGGTAGAATGTGCAGTGCAGAATGGTAATGGCATTGGATAAGATGTAAGCTGCAATTTCTTGAATGCTCGTTAGAATTAAATGGTATCCCGACGTAAACTATATATGTATATACATCATATTATTTCCGTATTCCATTCCGATGATCGCTAAAGCAAAACTTCTCTCAGAAGGACAATAGATCCAGTTAAATAAAACACTTAAAAGCCACGTGATATGATATCTGTTGATTTTCATTCGTAGAAAATATATCCAGCACCTGTAATAGATGATCAATATGGAGGTCAAAGCGTATGTATAGGAGTGCTCTAATAATGCAATTATCAGCAGCGAGAATGGGGTTTCTATGATGTAGTACCTTGATAATATCAGGCTTCACCAACAACTAGCTGCCAGTGACGCATGCATAAAGCTTTTGTCAAAGCTTGCATCGTAATAACAACAAGTGCTATTTTTACGTGCTGAGGGCAAGTATGCGGTATGAAAACAACGATATATGTAGATTCCACTTTTGTGCGTAATATCCACAATTTGTGCATATAGAAATATGTTTAATGCGTTATAAGGAGTTGTTTTTGGGAAACCGTTATCTTATCTCTATCACATATTTAAAGATATTTGAAATTTGTCTAACTCCTCGACTGCTATCATGGGTTAGGGGACGCGTAGACATTGGGTTTTATACTTGGTAGATGGCTGAGTTATTGTTATGTATTCGAAATTAATTAAATTTCTAGTATCTCCTCAACGCTCAGCCTCGTCCGACCAGCAGAAATATCATTTTATCGGTTAGGTTAGGTTAGGCCCGGCCCCTCTATGGCGGTTGCCCGCCACAGAGCAAATAGGCCTTGGTTTAGATATTGCGTAATAGAAGATTGTGGCTGAGAGGTCTGTAATGTTTCAAAAAAATGTATTGAACGACCGCTCCTGCCATAGTATCCGACCCTTTGTCTCGTTACTTCAGGAACAAGCAAAGGGTAACAGACACAGGACAAGGAGAAAAGATCACTATATAGTCATGCGATTCTCTCTATTCATCTTGCTGTTGATCTATGAGATATGCGTATATATAATGGTGCCTACGTGTTCTTTATTCAATCAATCAAAATTCCTATACTTATCACCGCTGTTCTCGATATTGCTGCTGACGTATCCAAGCGAATGGGGCCATTGGTCTAAATAGTGAGGTTTTAATTTAATAGATTGGTACGATACATCGTTCGAGGATGCATTGTCATCTGAGCTGCACTGTTGTGTGTTCCCTGACGCGCTAGCGTATCAGCAATCTAATAACGCATTGAAGTTACTGCCATAATGACGAAACTTGTTCATTGTAGGACAGCGCACGACGAATAAGGAATGCAAACAATTAATTCGTCCTGAGGAGCGCGTTCTCAAAGCAGGCTACTGATTTGTGCTGTTGCCGTTTGTGTCCTTTATGTAGCGGTGATACACATCAGGCCTTAGGCTCAGCTTGACCAGGCCTAACGCTCTTCCCTGAATTCTCCCTCTGAATTTGCTCCCCTTTAGCACCATAGAGGAAACAAACGATGTCGCTAGCCTACCGCTGCGATAAGTTGGACAGTTCAGCTTAGGTTACCACAAGCGCCTGCATGCCTGGCGATCTACTCGTGCGTCAGCTAGGAAGTAAAGCTCCATCGGCTTCGTTGCTGGCTGAGTCGCTTAGTAGTACCCATATGGGCGTATGCTGTGTGCCTCTCCTAATCAGGCACGTATACCGCTGGCTTCAAGCTTCAGCCTTTAGGTAAAATCATCTACTACCTGTGACAAAAAGCAGCACCGTTTACAGGCGTGGAGAGCCAACTATCTAGAAAAATACTCTAGAACTGGTAAACGCCACTTAGCTGCTTACCGTTATAATAGGCAATAGAAAAAAAAGGCCGACACGAACTGACCGTAATAACGTAATCGATGAAATCGAAGGAAAATAGCACTTGAAAAACATCGAAATAAGCCTAAAGACAGTAAGCCTATCGTCACGTGTAGTTACGAAAAATTTAAGCAAGGGTTTAAAAAAAAAGGTCGCGTAGGCGGTGCAAACTGAAACAAAATAAGGACTATTGTCTTATTATTATTATTGTCTTATTGCACGATGTGTGTTTCCACTAGGCAAAGAATTTAAAAAATAGCCTACCATTCATGTTTCTATCAGTTAAATAAGTGTGTTATAAACAACGACTCAATTCTCGATAATGATTAGCATTGACAAAATTGATCAAAGTGCTATTGCCAAAAGCAGCTGGTTG